GATCCGAAACTACTTCGAAACTCACCCGAGCCTCTCGGGACCCCGTCCGAACACACCAACAAGTCTCCAAACATATTATGGACTTAGTAGAGGTCTCAAATCATATCAAACTATGCTAAAAATACGAATCACACCCCAATTCAAGCTTAATAAAAACTAACGAATTTCAAATTTTACATTCGATACCGAAACCTATCAAATCAATCCAGAATTACCCCAAATTTTGCATGCAAGTCATAAATGACATAATGTAGTTGTTACAATTTTCAGAATTGAATTTCGGCCCCGATATCAATAAAGTCAACTGTCGATCAAACTTTTCAAAAATCTTTTATTTTCCAACTTTCGCCAAAATGCACCGAATTGTCCTACAGACATCTAAATCCAAATCCGTACATGATCCTAAGTCCGAAATCACCATAGGAAACTATTGGAATCCTCAAAATTCTATTCGGGAGTCGTTTTCTCAAAAGTCACATCTTCGGTCAAACTTTAGAAATTCAAGCTTTATAAAATCAAACCTTTTGTTTGTTTGTTTGTTTTACAAAAACTAACGGAAAATGTGCCTACACACCTCGGAATAACTTCAAATTTTGTACATATGTCATAAATATTGTTATAAAGCTTATCGAACTCTCGGAATTCAAATCGGGATCTGGTATCAACAAAAATCTAATTATGGTCAAATTTAGAAATTCTTTAAGCATTTAAATTTCTAGTTTCCGTCAAATGGCGATAATTCAAGTTAGGGACTTCCAAAAATGATTCTGGACATACGCCCAAGTCCCAAATCACGATACGGACTCACTGAAACTGTTAAAATACTGATTTGGGTTTGTTTGCTCAAAATATTGACCGAAATCAACTCAAATGAGTTTTAAAGGCAAAATTTCACATTTTCTTTGATTTTTCACATAAAAATTTTTCGGAAAAAGATACGGATTGTTCATGCGAATCGAGGAAGGCTGAATGGAGCTATTCGAGGTCTCGGAATACATTAATAAAGGTTAAAATTAAAAATGGCCTATCGGGTCATCACAGATCTTTTGTATATTCTACTAGTAGCCCACAAACTTGTGACACCAGATCATTGTCACACACTAATAGACTTGTGATTTTGGTTTAATTTCTATGGCCATAAATACATTCAGTTGCTTTCGTTTTATTGATTTAATTCTGTTCACTGTTGGCTTGCCTAGCAATGTTGATTGGCGCCATCACGGCCTAAAATAGAATTGGGTCGTGACATTTTTGATTCAACTAAAATCGGTTTTGTATATTAGGTGCTCATTATTTTTATTAATATGTTACTATTTTTTAAAGGCATATACATATATATATTAAATATTTACTGACTTTACAGGTGTCGGTAACCCTTCAATCAATTACATAGGTCCGCCTCTGTATATACCGTTGTAAATATATGTCCCGTATTTATTGTTTTGACGGTTATTTCTTTGGATATGTAAATCTTTGAAAAAGAGAGGAGCCTATTGGTGTCCCCACACTGCTAACTAGGCTGGCAAATGCCATTTCCGCTTTTAAGTTAAGAAGTAGGAATATGCCTAATACTATTGACTATTGAATTGAAATGAAACCTTAGCTTTGGACCAAACATGTTAAATATACAGATTTTGACACCTTATTTCAATGATTTGGACGTTTGTCTTTATTTCCTGTAGGTTAAATAGAAGTTTGGTAAGTCTTACATTAAATTATAGAAAGAATTATAAGAAAATACACGTGACTTCACATCATAACAAAAAATGGTATATGTTTTTTAAGTTTTACCCGACCTAACCTATATTGTACATATTTTGAAAGCACTAGCAAATTCAAATTTTGTGTTCTTACAACAATTGCTTCTAAAAGCTATGGAGTTAAATTTGTGTTCTCACAACCATTGTTTTCGTACTCTCTTCTTCTCACATCTTCTACATATGCTTCAAGGGGTATTTTCTGCTCCCTTCCCCCCCTGTGTCACCTGATTGCAATGTAAGAAAATTGAAGAGTAGAATTTCACCATTGAAGGCCATTTAAAGCTTTGCTATCGAAAATAAGTATTTTGAGTTTGTTAGTTGTTTGGATTGGGTGTTGTTCCAATTGATTGAAAATATCAAAAGGAGTTCAAAATTTAAATTTGAAGTGATTTGGAGTATATTTGAGCAAGATTTGAGTTAAATTTCAGAAAAGACGCAAGAAAGAAGACGAAGTCAGTTATTTGTATAATTATGGATAATATTGTATAATAGTGTATATGAGTGTATAAACACATCTTATACACTTTTATAGACCTTTATACAAGTGTATGTAGACAAACTTCTTCCACGATTTTCAGTTGCAATTCTTGTTCAAAACTAGTCTAAATCTCCATTAAATAATTTCAAATTTCATATACAACCTCCTTATACTATTTCTAACAAGTCTAAATAACACCCACTCCAAATTTCTCCCAAAATAAAATTCGAAATTTAAACCCACATATTTAAGCTTGTTAAAAATCTAATTTTCACCACCCAAATGGATTTGGTTTGTTGAACCAATATTTGAGTCACAGTTACTGATTCCAAAATTAACTTAAAAGCTTGAGCAAATTTTTTTAAAAATCAAATAGTAATTTCGAGAATCTATTGGAATTGAATGTTGAATCTTAACCTATTACTTTTGGGTTAGTTGGTTGTAAATTGAAATGTAGACTATAAAATTAAAAAGTAGGAAGCCCAGTTCTTCTTATGTGAAATTTTTCCTAAATTATACCGTTGACAAGCCTAGTAATTATGGTTTTACACGTCTATCTCAAAATAGAACATAAACTGAATGTGATAAATAGCGACATAATTATTCAACCTGCTACTTGTGTTAAGTGCTAAATTTTCAACACTTAGCATAACCTATAACCTATTACTTTGACCGTAGGAAGTGAACTAACTATAAAATTCATTCCCATATTTACTATTAAAACATTAATATTATATATGTAATTAGGAGATAAAGAAAGCACGCAATTAAATAAGGAAAACATGGAAGCACAAATTTGTGTGCTTTAGGAATATTCTTCTGGGTCAAAATACGTCTTCACTAAAACCTCATGTGGTCAAATCGCAAATACATAAAAATTGGAGTAGCAACTAGTGTAAAAAGGGAGTTGAAATTCGAAACTCAAAAGTAGGTGAAGGTTAATGAGTCAAGTGTTCGTGTATAATACAACTCCCACTAAACCTTTGATTAAAAATTACTCAACTTATAAACTTATTTGTCCGTAGAATAAAACTCTTTTCGGTACCAGGGTATTTGGATAAGCTTGTAAGCATTTATTTATTTATTTATTTATGCATTTGATAAACATCAAAAGTGTTTATAACTAAAGAATATTTCAGTCACTTTAACGTATATAATTGAAATGCAACTAGGTTTTTGCACATGCACTTCAGACGCACCATGGGGCGCGTGGAATCCCGTATGAATCAGCAATGACCACCTAACAAAGCTAAATACTCCTGGTTGACCGATAGCGAAGTAGTACCATGAGGGAAAGGTGAAAAGAACCCTCATCGAGGAGTGAAATAGAACATGAAATCGTAAGCTCCCAAGCAGTGGGAGGAGCCAGGGCTCTTACCGTGTGCCTGTTGAAGAATGAGTCGGCGACTCATAGGCAATGGCTTGGTTAAGGGAACCCACCGGAGCCGTAGCGAAAGCGAGTCTTCATAGGGCAATTGTCACTGCTTATGGACCTGAACCGAGTGATCTATCCATGACTAGGATGAAGCTTGGGTGAAACTAAGTGGAGGTCCAAACCGACTGATGTTGAAGAATCAGTGGACGAGTTGCACTTCCGATGCACGTCTTAAGTGCAAGCAAGCAAAAATGGATGCACTTCAGTCATATGTTTTAACTTTAGACGCAAATTTTGCTACTTTGTTTTTGTGAAATTATTGATTTTGATATCATGCTACGTATTGTTTAATCCATAATATAGCATATTAATTTTATGTATATAGTATAAGTTATTTTTAACAACGCCTAACTATATCTTTCAAGCTAATTCATTCGTCTGTATCATATAAATACCTGCTTCACCAGCATATATGGTATGGTATTTTTTTGCTGTAAAGTTCCTTTCTTTTGCCGTACCTTTTTTTCCCCTTCAACGGGAAACAAAGTAAAAAATATATTCAACTGTTTAATCCTCTATGCTTGTGGTTTTTATACGAGATTATTTAGTATTGTTATTGGTGTTCATATGGGACGATAAATTTGTAGACGACTCATTATGTAATGAGTTTGTTAAGAAAAAACTAGATAGAAATTAAGAAACAAATTGTTGCATATAAAGGTGGAAAATTTGAAATATCCAAATAATACACTCATTGCTAAATTTTGATGAATTTGCAAGTGAAATATATATATTTCAGATAATAAAATTTAATCTGAAAGAAGAAAAGCCATCTAATAGAAAGCAAGCGGATAAGGGGCAGACCATGAGAAAAACCTAAAAGCAAATCAAAATCATTAGAGGATTTCAGGACTCCTATTTTGCTTGAGTTTACTTTTTGTATGAACTTCAGGTTAGATAGTTAGAAGGCTTCGAGCTATGAAATCAATCTCTCGCAGAAATGCAGGGTAAGGCTGCGTACAATAGACCCTTATGATCCGGCCCTTCCCTGGACCCCCATAGCGGAAGCTTAGTGTACCGGACTAACCTATTAAAAAATTATGAGGTTTAACAACATCTAAGTGCCTCATGTATTTTCAGGGTCTGAGATCAAACAAGTGTTAGTATGGAACGTATCTATGCAAATCATTTGAAAAGAGTATAGTTGAGGTGTCTGAGGATATTATAGTCGAAATATTACACCGTTTGCCTTCAGAATCTCTTGCAAGGTTTAAATGTGTATGTAAGCATTGGCGGAAGTGTATATTCATAGTGTAGTTGAGCTGTCTGAGGATATTAAAGGCAAGCTTGTCACGATACGATACAATATATTGTAGCAGGCTGTAGATAGTTAACTTTGTCAAGCATTAGCCAGCAATTTCATAGCAGTAAAACACTGATCAACAACAAACATATCAGTATGAGTTTTTAACTTCTTAGTGACAGTGTATAGTATACCTTTCAAAAAGGGCATCACACAATCAACGATGAATGAGTTTTAACTAGTAGGATATATGATGTAAGCATCTCCGTAATGACCACAACCAAGTATGCATAAAAACAATTAACAAACGCCTACATCCCAATAAGGCTAGCGCCATACATCATTGTAAGCGCCAAAGCAATCATTAGCTGAGCTCCTTCAGGATCTTTTCAATCTCCATAGACCTCTCAGTATAAACCTCGTTACTTGACCTAGAGACAAAGATCAAAGTGAATTCAATACAAGGAGGATAGATAATAAGTTCATATTAAAACAAGACCAACTCACCAGACATTAAAAGCAAAAGCAGGCAAAAACTACTAGAATCCCAGGCACGAAACGATATCAGATTTAGGGAAAGTTTACATTCAAAATATTTATACTTGAGAGAAGCTTATCCTTAAGTGTAGCAGATTTTCTTGAATTTTATGAACATCAGGTTGGAAAGAAAGAAATGAAAGATATTTTGAAGGCATATTCAAAACTCAATACAGCAATCATGTATAACTATGTAATTATGTTTTATATTTTTGTGCAGAATGGAGTTGTAGAAGAGGCAGAATCTATTTCAAATTTCAGAGTTCCTTCAATTTATACACTTAGTATTTTTTTTTTTCTGTTTTGTGAACAATAATTATTAACTTTCGAGAGATAAAAACCTGAGAAGGAATAACTTACTGATCGATTTTCCACATTTGCCAATGTGCCCTGCAAAAAAAAAAATTAAGAAATAAGTGTTTCAAAAGACAAAAGTTTCTGCAAAATAATTAGCCCAGCTGGAAGACAATTTTTTCATGTTTTTTAATCATTTAAAACAAAATCCATCCAAGGTCAAGCTACACACCAGAACAAGTAGGGAAGCCCACCGAAGACTATCCCGTTATAGAAAGCTTGAACTGCATGCAAGGAGCAGAGACATGACAGTGTGAGATTTGAAATTTGAAATTTGAAATTTGAAGCGAGACTAAGGCAGTACGGTGAAAATTTTACCCTCAGGATGAAAATCGCCTCCCTGACCGGAAGAAAATTGCTGGCAGTAACCCCTAATTCGGAATCAAGAAGACACGAAACTTCAATAACAATAACAATAACAATATATCTACCGTCGCCGCCCACATACCTCATTTGTGTTCTTGGTGCTCCGAGCAAAACCCTACCAGCAGCCAATTGTTTTCTACCCAAACCATAAGAAAACAAAAAACAAACATGAGACAAAAATCGATCAATTCCTCGGATTAATCAAAAATTAACCAACCCACCCTCCGAGGTGGAAAGCCATAGTGCAGAGCAATCTCCGTCGAAACAAAACACAAACCCTAAGCAGCTGAGCTCGCTTGACCTCTTCGTAAAAAATGGGGGTAAAATTCTGCCATCAAAATAAAAACTTTTATACCTGATTTGTGGTGTTGGTGCTCCAAGCAAAACCCTACCAGCACCAGCAGCCATTTGTCTTCTACCCAAACCAAAAATTTATAAATCCTCCAAAAATTGAGACAGAGATCAAACAAGCCTTAGGATAAACCAAAAGTTAGGCTGAAACCAACTTACCCTACGAGACGGAAAGCCATTAGCGACACAGCAATCTTCCTTTGAAACAAAACGAACAAACTCTAAACAGCCCTCTGCGAGATTTAAAACCACGAAACAAAACCGGAACGACAGCCATGAGTAAATTTCACCTCTGAATATATAATTGGATTTTTCGGACGGGATGGCCACTTTATGGGCTGGTGTGCAAATTTAGCATCTTTTAAAACTGTCGTGCGAATATAGTCATTTTTGGGTTAGCCCCTTGGTTAGTAATTATCATTTCTATTAACACTTTCAAATAATTACTCCCTCCGGTGAATTTTAGTTATTGTGACTACTAAAAATAACATGTCTAAAATATTTGTCATTTTAAAAAATTAAAATGTAATTAATTTTTTTTATTTTATCCTTAGTATTAATTATTCTTTAAAGTAAAAAATATTGATTATAATTTACCGCATAGAAAACCTAAATGTAAAAGTAAATAAAGGTACAACAATCAAAAAGTCCTTATTAATAGTTTTCTAAGGGACGTATAAAAAAGAGATATGACAACTGATATTGACCAGAAGCTAGTACCCTTCATAATAAAAAATTTCAAAATATAGCAACTTGAGGGAATACCAGTCCCTTAATTTTAGGCTTTAATTTTGGTAAACCTTATCCCTCTCAATTTTCTCATTTTTTTTGTCTTTATTAATATTTCTGACGTAATTTGAATCCTATATTAAATGAAGTTGAAGTATTTAATAGGTACCAATTTCATGAATGAAGTTTATCTAATCAATCGGCGAGCTAAGTAGTTGGTCTTGTTGTTTTTCCTTTAATTTTTCATCAAATATAAGTTATAGGATTGGAATTGTAGCTTTGTTCTCGTGTATTGAAATTATAGGATTTGAATCAATATGTGGCAAAATACTCTGTCAGGGTCCAGGCACAAAGCATTGAGAAAAGCTAAAACAAAACAAAATCATTCGGAATGGGAGAGAATGTGGACATATACCTTTTAACTTTGATGAAAATCTTTTTAGTATTAACTATTAAAGATTGATAGGAGTATAATTCTAAGTATTTGAGGAACAATTAATTTGGAGTAAGAGTTTATAGTTGTCTTCTTTTTGACGAACAACTTTCATCTATATATTATGAAAGTATATTTTTCTTCATGTAAAGTATTTTCTGTCATACCAAACACACATCTTAGTTTGCTAGCTATTAATTGTGAAATAAAAGGTAAAAAGCCTAAAAAGAATTGGACGAAGAGATGAATAGCCTGTCAATCCCTCTATTGTTGAGGGAAATGGTTCGAAACCAATTTGTAGAGGGGAGAATTCTAATTGAAGACTTGCGCAACCGGTGCTCATTTTCACATTGCATTTTGTTTTAAACCATGAGTTATAGTGTAACAAATAGGCAAACGCTTCACTTATATTAGGGACAACAACAACAACCCAGTAGAATCTCATTAATGGGGTCTGGGGAGGGTAGTGTGTATGCAGACCTTACCCCTACCCCAAAGGAGTAGAGAGGTTGTTATATTAGGAAGAAATTCAAAAATAGCCAGATTTACAAGTGATCATTCAAAAATAGTCACACTTTCAAAAGTAATCAAAATTTAGCCACTTTTTATGTAAAGATAAATCTGAACGAAAACACAGTTCAAAATCCGGAAAATATTCCAGCATATTATATTGGAGTTCCAGCATAAGTATACTGGAACTCCAGCATAATATAATGGAGTTCCAGCATAAGTATACTAGAACTCCAGCATAATATAATGGAGTTCCAGCATAAGAATACTAGAACTCCAGCATAATATACTGGAATTCCAGCAAAGTATACCGGTCCAGTATAATATGCTGGAAGTTCATACACAGGTGCTCGAATCTCCAGTATATTAAGCTGGAACTTTTCGCGTGTTGGAGTTCCAGCATAATATGCTAGAAGTTCATACGCAGGTGCACCAAACTCTAGTATATTATGCTAGACCGGTCTCTGTTGCAGTAAAATAGTGGCTATTTTTCAATGACTTGGCAAACACTGGCTATTTTTGAATGACTAGTCCGAAAACTGGCTAGTCCGCGCTATTTCTACCTTATATTATACTAGATTAGGGTAGCCCGTGCCAGCATGGGCCCAAGCTCGATATGGAGTTTTATATGTAGTCTATTTCATCTGCGTATCCAAATATACCAAACGTACATGCATACCAAAACCAAGTTGTAACATAGGAATGGCTCGATAGATTATGGCTAATTTACCAAAAGCAACTGTACACAATTACAGTCTCCAGTTTTATAGCACATGAGTTCTTTAAGGGAATTACCTACTTATTTTATAAAAAATTATTTCAGTTGAATCCTTTCTACTTTTATGAGGTAAAGAAAGTAGAGCAGTATTAGAATAACGATAATATAACAACCAGCATATGAATTTAGGATGAAGGGCATGGAGATAATGTTTATTTCAATGCTATCAGCAGTTGTCGAAGCTATACATGGGGATCTTTCTTTTCCCTTTTGTTTAGCCTCTAACAACATTTTGTTTTATTTATCTATTTTATCTTACAAGCTTGCTTCCACTTCTGTTTTTTAGAGTATGTAACTAAAATTTCTATATATCTCAAGTCTGCATGTGCAAATAAGGCGAAAATACCGATATACATGTATCGGATTCAGGTAACATATCAAAGTAAACACGGAAAGCAATATAACTCTAATGATGGCGAAAATCTTTTTGCCTGCACTTAAGCATAACAAATGGCAAAACCTATCACCCGAGTTAACAGATAATTGATATGTACCAAACTTAGCATGAGATCAAACTTAAGATGTGAACTCCAAAGTGGTTGGTGATTACAGACAGAGCTCGTGATATTGAGAGATGTATCCACACAGCAAATACGATAGCAAAATACAGTTTTTTCTTCTTCATTTTTTTTTTTTTAGTTATTTATTTCTCACTTTTTCCTTTTCCTAAAATGAGATGTGTTACGACCCAACCGGTCGTTTTGACTTTTAGAATCTCGTTTCCCTAAATAAAATTCCCAGTATGTGCTTTTACTAATTTATGACTTGTGGAGATGGTTGGTTCGGGATTTGAAAGTGTTCGGGTTGAAATCGGAACACTTATTTCTTTAGTTTGGCTTTAAAAGGCCAAGTTTGACTTCGGTCAATATTTTTAGAAAACAACCCCGGAATCGGGATTTGACGGTTCCAATAGGTCCGTATGATGATTTTGGACTTAGGCGTATGTTCGAATCGGGTTTCGGATGACCCGGTAGCGTTTCAGCGGCTTAATAGTGAAAATCAACTATTTAAAGGTTTATGGTTCTTAAATTTTGGTTTGGAGTAGGTTTTGGAGTAAATGAGGTCCGTTTGGAATTTCGAGCTTGGGAATAGCTCCGTATGGTGATTTAAGACTTGCACGCAAAATTTGGTGTCTTTCCGAGTAGTTTAAGTATGTTTCGGTGCGTTCGGAGTAAGTTTGAAGAATTTGAAAATTTCTAAGTTGAATCAATTTGGATTGGGGTATGATTCTTAGTTTTGATATTGTTTTACACATTTTGAGGGTTCGAGGAGTCCATTTTATGATTTCAAATTTGTTGGTATGTTCGGACGGGGCCCCGGCGGGCCTCGGGCATAAACCGGACGAGGCTCGGACCAATTTTGGACTTGGAAGAAAAGCTGAAGCTTTCTGCTTCTGGTGCGATCGCACCTGCGCTTGGGTTGTCGCAGATGCAAGAATCGCAGGTGCGACATTTAGCTCACATGAGTGGAAAGGGAGGGCAGGCCACAAGCCGCAGAAGCGGGAGTTTTGGGCGCACTTGCGAGCGCACAGAAGCGGAACATTTCGCAGGTGCGAGGGCTTGGGGCGCAGATGCGGATGAGTAGAAACGACCATTTGTCTGCAGGTGCGGAGCTAGGACAAGAAGGAAATCTCGCACCTGCGAGGCTTTTTCCGCAGGTACGGCTAGCCCTCCGCGGGTGCGAAAAACACTGCTAGGTAGAATGTTTAAAGAGAACGAGGCTCAGCCATTTTTGCCCACTTTTCTTCATTTCTTGGGCGATTTTGGAGCTTTTTGAGAGGGGATTTCAACTAGCAACTTGAAGGTAAGTTAATTCTATACACTTTGAGTTAAATACATAGATTACGGGTAGATTATAACCTGTAAATTTTGGAAATCAAAGGTTTAGTTGAAAAATCTAGATTTTTTGTAAAAATGAGATTTTAACCACAAAAATGGTTATGGAATTGGATGGAAATTGTATATTAGAGTTCTTGAGATTATGGGTAACGATTTCCTCCGAAAATTTCAAAAATCTGGGCACGTGGGCCCGAGGTAAATTTTAAAAACTTTACCATTTTGGGTCGGGTAATTTATTTAACAATCTAATTTTGAATATTGAGCATGTATTAATTATTTTATATAACATTTGGATAGTTTCGAAATTTTCGGCATCGAATTGAGACTTTAACACGACATTGTGATCGGGAAGTGGACTTTGAGACAAGGTAACTCTCTTGTCTAACCTTATAAGAGGGAATTTACCCCATAGGTGATTTAAATTAACAATTGTTGTTAATTGTGGGAGCTACGTACGCACGAGGTGATGAGAGTTCGTGCATAGCTACTAATTATGCTATGTCCGAGTAGTTTAGGACTCAAATCATGAATTACTTGTGATAATTGCATCCTTTATTTATTTAAAATACTGAAATTATATTGAAAATTGTTAGAGGAGATAGTAGAAGACCGAAATTTCATATACTTGAATTTTGTGTAAATTACGTGGTTGTTAATAGAAATTGTACATCTTTATATGTTAAACTTATAATATCTTCTCATTTCGGATGTTCATAAGAAAATGTCCTCCTTTCTTGTGGAGCGGGCCGAATGCCTCGGCAGTATAGATGCATCTATGGATCATGCTGCACATCCCTCGACAGTGTACACGACACTCTGGATCGGCCTGTACGACCTCGGCAGAAATCGTGCGTAATAATAATAATTACACGGTACTCTAACATTTTATTGTAGCTTGTGAAGCTAATTAATAAATTGTAAATTATTGCAATTGAAAGAATTAATTATTTTTGTTGGTTAAAGAAAATTATTGTTATTCCTATAAATCATGTTGATTTAAATATTTCTATTTTAATATTATTGACCATTAGTTAGTGTCAAAGTC